AAAAAATTTGAACAAAAGGTATCAATATCGTATCGAATTAAAAATGTTTGGTATTGCCCATCTCTAATAACCAGTGATACCAGAACATAATCTGGTACCTGATGGTAATTTCCATAACACACTTTTTCATTGGAAATAGGCTCATTTTATAACTCTCATAGAGTAAAATAGTTCAGTTTAACCATTTTTTCAATATCCATTCAACTCATCTCCAGGCCTGGTACAGGCACTTTTAGCTTAGCTTAGCAAAAATTACACCCGTTAGGATCTTTTAAGAAAAAAAAATGAACAAAAAGATTCAATAGTTTTCTAATTTAAAGCTTGACTTTTCTGTAATTACATTGTCTACTAAGACAAACAAAAATGGAAAAGTTGCTATATTTACTATTTATTTCTGGGGTCACCAACATGGTGCCCATGGGCACCAGGTAGCCCGCCAGGTTCACATGAGTTGCCCACGGGCCTGTTCTAAAAATAGCTCATATGAGTAAGCTGCATCTAATACTTTTATAGGTATTCTTTTTAAATCACACTTGCATTGGTTTAAATTTTAATTACTTTAAGTTATATTTAAAAAAAAAAAAAAAACTTTTAAAAACAATTTTAGACAAATGAAGTGTTGCATATTGATGTTTATCTAACTTGTTAAATCATTGTTGACAACTACTGTGAGAAATCATTAACATGATCAATGTCTTCACATAGATGAATATTATTAATTATTAATATTAACATATAATTAAAAGTAAATTAAGAAAAATGTGTTATTTAATAACTGGTAGCACTTCACATTAATCGGTACCCAAGAAGTAGCTCTCAGTTTCCAAAAGGTTAGTGACCCGTGATTTATTTGATGCGCATCTGTCAAAATGACTCTATGGTTGCAAGGCAAGTTCTCTGTGCAAAAAGGTGGTAAAGTTGGTTACTCTGACAGAAACTAGACTATTTCCAGGTGCTGCTTAATATCATTGCACCCGCTGCAGCAACCTAAGCCATATCAGCCTAGCCTGGTACGACAGCAACATGGCCACATCAGTCTAGAAAAAAACTCTTTTTCATTTACCGCTTGTCTTAGTTCAGCTTAACCTTAAGGAAGAGTGAGGTAAGATTGATTTTATGTAACGTTTTTTTTTTTTTTTTTTGACTGTTATTTGACAAATGATTGACAGTAATTTGCAGTAATATAAAATGCAAACCTTGTTTAAGGCTGTTTTAAAATGAAAATAAGGTATCATTAATGTGATTCATGTATTGAATGTGACAAGAAAAGCTGAGCATTTTCACCATATAAGACATGCAAATAAGAGAGTGTGCATACTGAAAAATACAATTTGCAAATAGTTTATAATAATTACTTTCCATTCAGATTATACCAAGAATTTACTTAACCGTTCTATTTCTTAATACTGTAATAAAACAAAATCTTTTCATGACATTTCCAAGCAATGCAATTATGATTAAATATGCCTATTTATGACACTGATTAAAAAAGTAAACTCTCTTTTAAATACATTAACCGTTTAAAAACTATTGAAAATATAAGAATCTTATTGAACTGCATGCACTTACTGTTTAAAAATGTATTCCTTCTGAAGAAATTACTTTAATGAGACATAATATGTCTAAAAACAGACACTGTAGACTTAAAAGTGTATGGCCTTGTATTTAAATCAATGTACTTACCACACATGATTTCCAGTAAACTCTGCATTAGAGACCTATCTCTTATTTTTGACAACAAAAAATGACACATTTTATTCTAAAATCACCATCACACTATTCACTTTGCTTTACCCCTTTGTCAAAAAAATTTGCTGGTGCAATATGCCAATGATAAATATGGTCTTCCTCCAAAAAAGCACAGGCTCACCTCAATAAACGTATTGCCCCAGTCAAGTGTAAATCATCTCTTATCCCCTCGCTGATACCTGATCTTTCAGCCCTCGGTCTTGAAATGTCTTTCAGAAAAGATTGCAGATAGGATGTCCAAGGAAGAGCTGTAACGGATGCCATCTGAGATTTAATTTATAGTGAGGGATGGAGCTTGTCTTGTTACCCCGTTTAATGGAAAACAATGAGTCTTCTAGTGGAGTCTCCAGGCTGACACATTGACCTGGATAGACCATTACGCCTTTTATTATCCTGAGAGCAGCTTCGTCTTCTTCTTCTTTTGGTGTCCTATGAATGAATGCGACAATCCAAGACAGATGTGACAAATATAAAAGACTTACAACACCTTCTTGGAACTTGGGCTGGAGATTTGAGAAAAGCGATGGCATTAGGTATTTATTGTACTGGTATGATGGGATGTCCTGCTCATTTTTTCAATTAGATCACCTTTATCTGGCACTAAATTGTTTGACATCAATGTTATCATCACTACATCTAACTTTTACTAACTACAAAAGAAAAACGTATCTGTTTTTGGTATACTTTAAAAAAATAACCACACTGTAAATGTGAATTTTAACAGAAATCATCCACAGCTCATGTTTAGTGTTATTTATGCTTTCCCATTGTATTTTGTGACACTGATCTCTGTTCTGATGACTTTTTATGCTAGATAAAACACATTTTAATTAATTCCATGGACTGTTGAAAATCTTGATTCTGATTGGCTGGAAGATGTGAAATAATGTTTTGTGAGGCACATGCATAGATATATACATTAGATGTCGCCTTCCTTGTTGTTGTCTATTGGAAGGAATGCATCAATAGAGCCGGCATTTTGGAACAGGGTAGCGCTCCTTTGAAATTAATGCGGGACCAGGGTACAATGGAGGACTGTGGCCATCCAAAGCCAGAGATATATACATATACACATATATCTTTTATCGGGAGTTTTCCTGGATGTTAGAATGCAATTTTATTTTTTTTTAATTACGAAAACTTTAATTTTACATCACTTTTCTACAATGATGGATGAGTGATCGCACTGGCATTCCTGACAAAAAGCTTGTGTTTGTGTGTACAGAAATATACTATCCACCCTCCATGTTAA